CCATGAAATATATATTTACTGACCAACCAAATGGATGGGTTTAATGGCCCTTTTTAAGGACTAGAAGGGAATATACCTGACCAAGGCTGCAAGGCTACACATGACAGGGCAATGAGGTCATATTTAGATGCTTTCCCCCACAATCTGAGGTATGGTGGTGACAAAATGCCAAGCAGATATGATCCCTGGCTCCTCTCATTTTAGAAACTGAACACAGGAAAGGGGGTAATTAGGGAAACTTTAAAAAAAAAAGTATTTGCCAGACTTGAAGGGCAAAACTGGCTGTGTGACTGGCATGCATCCGATCCCAAAGCTTGGAGGAAGGGAAAGAAAATCTTAATACATAAAGCAAATAAATAGGTTACCCAGAATAAAAGAGAATGGAATCTCATGTATAGCTCCCCAAATATGTTTCCATCCTTGCTGTACTCAAGCTTTTAAACGCAAATCTGCTACAAGTGTTTGAGCAGAAACCTGTTGCTGCTTTTACAGTGTTCAGTAAAGACTTTGGGCTCATCTGCAGTTGCAGTTTTAATTGAGGACCCAAGGGCAATGAGCTGGGTTGCTGAGGAAAGGTACCTGCGAATGATATGACAGCGAAAACAATAGTGCTAACTAAGGTGCATGGGGAAAACAATGCGTTCAGTACCAAATATTCCACACCACATACACAAGATCCTTGTCTGTATTCTGCTTTGTTCCAGAATTAACACCTTTCTGGTTTCACACCCAACAGCAGAGAAAGAAGACTGTAATTCCTACTGTGACCATGACATGGCGGTTTAAGGTTGTTAAAGGGTAACTAATCCAAATGTGGAACATGCAACCCTCAAGTTATGAACCATCTTTTCTCCCGACCAGCTGATTTTAAACCTGCCAACTTCAAAGTAGTTGTGACTTTGTGTTTGTGTTTAACTTTCTACAACCTTTGGGGAGACCAAATCCCTGAGAATAAGACATTATACATAGCTGTCAACCTTCCCTTTTTTTTGCAGGAAATTCCCTTATTCCAGCGCCGTTTCCCACTGCTATCCCGGATTGTTAGATATCCCGTAGACTGTCCCCAGGATAGGTGAGGCTGCTGATCCCTTATTTTCGAGGCTGCTGCTCCCTTATTTTCAAATCTGAAAGTTGACAGCTATGCATTATAGCCCTCGGCAGCCTTGAGAAAACAGAGGATCATAGCTCAAAAGACCACAGTAGGGTGACACCAGACTGCTAAATTATTCCTCTACAAATATGATCTGCGGTAGGTTAATTTCATGTCCTCCAACGAAAATAGGGACGACAACAAGAAGAAGATGTGCTATTTTTCTAGAAAAAGTGCTGGAACTCACCAGAAACGCCTTCCTTGTTCTTTTGTAATGGCAATAGCACCCAACTGAGAGATGTCGGGACTGAGTTCCGGTGAGTTCCAGCTGGAAAAAAGCCCTGATGATGATAATAATAATAATAATAATAATAATAATAATAATAATGTTATTATTTATACCCCAGCCATCTGACTGGGTTGCCCCAGCCACTCTAGAAGGCTTCCAACATATATCAAAACATAATAAAACATTTTTTTAAAAAAACCTTCCCTATACAGGGCTGCCTTCAGATGTCTTCTAAAGTTACCGTATTTTTCGCTCCATAAGACGCACCAGACCATAAGACGCACCTAGTTTTTGGTGGAGGAAAACAAGAAAAAAAATATTCTGAATCTCAGAAGCCAGAACAGCAAGAGGGATCGCTGTGCAGTGAAAGCAGCAATCCCTCTTGCTGTTCTGGCTTCTGGGATAGCCGCGCAGCCTGCATTCGCTCCGTAAGACGCACACACATTTCCCCTTACTTTTTAGGAGGGGGAAAGTGAGTCTTACAGAGCAAAAAATACGGTACTTGTATCTCGCATAACTCCAAATGCTGGGGTGAAAACTGGTGGAGATTCTATATCTTTCACACAGTACAACCCCCCCCCAAACATGTTTAAATCATGTATGGCCATGAACACACATGCAGGGACGAGAGGGGGCGGAACGCAATGTTAAATCAGACGGGATGAGAACTTCGGCCATTGTCTAATTCTACCCCAGCTCCTCAAGCCTTTCGATCTGCACCCTTATCTGCCCCCTGCCTTTTTAAAAAAATAATATTTCTGGTTTCTATTCCTTATTTAACTGCTGGAGAAAAGCTGCCTCTGCCTTTGCTCCTTCCGAGAGCTCCAGGGAGGCCTTGGCTGTCTCTGAGGGGAAGAGAGAAGCAGAGGAGTCTGGCCTTCGTACCACATTCACTCCTGGGGGGCTCATTGCAAGAGCCAGTTGCCTTCCTGCAAGGCCTACCTAGAAGGGTGGTTTTTTAAATATATAAAATAAATAAATCATCCGTAGGCCGCTCTGTTTTCTTGGGAGAGAAAATGAACTGGGTTGGTGGCTCTCGGTGAGTGCAGCCAAAAGGGCCTCATAACTGCTTGCAGCAGAAAGGAAGGCCTCTGACCTCAGGCAAAGGTTTTGTGACAAGAATTGCTGAGAGACAGCTGGGAGCATATGAAGTTCCTCAAATGCAGATTTGCAAATGTCGATTTCCTTAAATCATTATGTTACGCTTCCTCAAATGTAGGTTTAGGTTTCTTTCAGGCGTTACATTACACTTACTGTGGTTCTGAGGGCTATAGGGCCACCAAAGCAGTACCACAATAGATAAACAATGAAGCTTTTATTTTTATGAAGCTTTTATTTTTATTTTTGCAAGGGGAGGGCTTTGAATTTTTGCCTGCTGTTGGGGGAGAAGATGGCAGCCATGTTGGAACTGATCTGTGCAGCTCAGGTGCAAAAGGACAGCATCGCTCCCTATTCATTAGAACACTTGATTTTTAAAAGTGCTTTCCAATGAGCGTTGCGTTTGCCAGTTCAAAAAGTTGTACTGTTTAGAATTCACAATCGGGCATTTGAGGATGACAGAAGCGGATGTGCCGAAGATGGCAAATTAATTCCATGACCCAATTTTCCCAGAACCTCCATGTTTGTGGTCCTAGAACCACACAGGCCTTGACTAAGGCCTAGTTTTCATTCAGGTGATAAAAGCTGCCTCAGGGCTTCACCGCTTCAGGTCAAGGCTCACATGACTGAGGGTCAAGAGAGAGAGAGATAAAGAGTAATATTATAATTGTGGTAGAAGTTTTTGCTACAAACATATTCCTGCAATGTCGGGGGTTGGGCTAGATGACCCGCAGGGTCCCTTCCAATTCTTCTGTGATTCTATGTAGAGGCATCTGTATTCTGGGAATAGGTAATAATTACTATTTTCACCACACTTCAACCATGCGGTAGGCTGCCCTCCACATATAACTTCACACACCAATGCACTTTTTTGTTGTAAGAAGACCCCACGCTTCTTTATACGTGCACTGGAAAGACTCAAAGTATAAACATGTTTGACTTTCTTATGTTTGGAATGTTTCTCCAAATATACATTCCTTCCACATCCAAGACTGGATATTGGGAAGAAGACCCTTGTCACGTTGATTTTTCATGTCAGGGATTAAAAAAAAAAATTAAGGAGAATTATTGACTCAGATGAGGCCCTAGGATTAGACAAATCCACAGAGGATAAGCAATGGCTATGTTCTGCCTCCACTGTTGGAATGTCAAGTTGCTGGGAATCACAAGTAGGCAGAGCACTGTTGTGCTCAAGTCCTTTGATCAAAATGTAGAATTTAAGGATTTATCTTTATTTTATTTGTATTCCCTCCAGTGGAGAGAAGTCTATTACTGGCTAGTTGGCTTTAAAACTTTGAATTAACAGGCATTTAAGAACTGAAGCATTCCATTGATTAGTGCAGATTAGCTTTAGCTGATGACCTGGTAAATAGAAGAGTATTAAACATGCAGTATGTAAATGTCTCCTAAATGTCTGCAATTGTTTATTATTTCTGTATATTACTAATGTCATTACAAATTCATGTTTCTTTTAAATCTTTCAAGTAAAAGAATCATGCTCACCAAGGAGAAAAGAAAGCAGAAGGTAAGGAGGAATTACACTGAATTAAGAGCAAATGTGATTTCTGCTTGCCAGAAATCAACAGCAGAGAAGAGAGTATTTGCATCATTGAAGTCTGGAAACAGATTAATTTTTCCAGAGAGGTAGATGTGATATTATGAAGCCATTCACGGGGTTCAAACACTCCAATTTTTCTGCTTGTAGACAGAAATGTCCCGTGATTGGAAATGAGGAATTAAAAACCCATGCAAGTCAGCCATTCCCAAATCACGTTTTTTCAGTTCATATTGTCAGTGTCCTTTTCAAGGTTCTACTTTCAGGCTGAATTCTTTCACAACTGCTAACTCTTCTCTTTTGCTGCCAATGGCACTAGCTGTTTTGAGGATCTTGATGGAATGATCGAGGGAAAGTTCCTTTTTTTTAAAGGCAGTTTGTAATTGTTTGCCACCTTGAGCCTCGAGGTGGGATATATGTATGACTAAGGGCCTGTTTCTTTAGCAAGGAAGTGTACATTGTTATGACATTTTTTCTGTCATTCTTAATTTAATAGGACTTTTTCGAAAAAGAAAAGCTTAAATCAAAGATGAAGCTGTTGGGAATTTCTCCCCTTAAAAGCTCAGCTGTCAGCTTAGATCTCCTCAATCTGTGTGTTGTTAATCAGATATCTACCAAGAAAGATTGTTCTGGTGAGTTTAACTGCAAATTTATTTGTCAAAGTTTTACCATTAAAAGCATGACCACAGGAAAAATGTGGCAAAGTTCTCCAACATTCACTCCATCAAATTTACTCCTACTTCATCAAATCTGAACCACAACCTTTTTGTGTTCATTGAATGTCTTGCTAACTAAAAATGAAAACATAATGCTGAAAAAGTTGTAACCTACAATGAACATATCAACAATAATGAATACTGTATAGCACTGTTTAAAAAGTGTTTTGGTCCTGCACTCTTACCAAAACATTGGATGTCCCTCTTTAATTCACTCAAAGGACTGTTAATCTTTTGAGTACTTTCATTACAGAAAATGTTCGAAAAGCAGTTCATGTGGATATTAACAGAGGAGTAAAATTCCCGCTGAGAAGGCACAATGTAGAATTTCCCGAGTCACCACAACGTAGACAGTCCAAACCATACCAAGATGACACTGAGCACAGGTACATCCCAATATAATTTTCTGAATTGTAATATTTTGATTCATTATATCTGTCTACCTACCGACGTACCTACCTACCTATCATAGACTACATTGGCAAGCAGGTGCAGCTATGTGAAGAGTTATAGGTTCTAGCTGAAATGAAGACATCCCAGGCAAATGTTTTAATAATCACTGCACATCACAGATTCCTAGCTCTTTTTCTTATATATGCCACAACCTCTCTCACATTAAAGTGAAAATGTAAGTAGCCTGTAAGAATGCTATGGAATTTTCTGATCCCTTATGAAAATCAGTAGCCATGAGATGCTACCGTTTCTTTCTGAAGTCAGAGGATCCCAACAAGACAAGCTGAGAAAAGTTTTAACATTATGAAAGAATGGTGACGTTGACAGTGGTTGCATACAGCTTGAGTTCCTGCTTTAAACTGATTAATAGATCTTCCTGTTGGTATAAAACTGTGTGAATTTTTTTACATTTAAAAGAGGTGTTCCATGTAGAGAGGTGTTTGGGAGCCCTCTTTAGTGCCACTAGTAAAGCTATTAGGCTCAGAATCAACATTATTTATTCAAATAATAAAACATGACTTATTTATTTGGGCTCTGCATAATAAAGTGACACACCTCATTATCTTTTGCTTGGCTTGGCCTTTTGGTGTTATAATTACTTTCCTTTGTTCTCCATTTGACAAAGTGGGACATGAAAGTTTATGCCACAATATACAAGTTAGCTTTGACTCAAGGTCCTTGAGGAGACCACAGCCTCCTTTCGCTGCTATACACCTGAAGTTTGTCTCTAAGGCAATGAGTAGACAGGCATAGGTTTACATTGTAAGAGTTTTAATTTTGCCCGAGTCAGCGTCAAGAAAACCTAAGAATACCAAATGCCCTCTACTTAGTCTGATAAAGATGCAAATCTCAGTACCTCTGAAAATATGCAAAATTTTCCATAAACAATAACACCTTGGAGGTCCCAGGCCTCAAGGAGGTTAGACTGGCCTCAACCAGAGCCAGGGCCTTTTCAGCTCTGGCCCCGGCCTGGTGGAACGCTCTGTCGCAAGAGACCAGGGCCCTGCAGGATTTGACATCTTTCCGCAGAGCCTGCAAGATGGAGCTGATCCACCAGGCCTTTGGCTGGGGTCCAGTCTGACTCCTCCTTCTTCTTTTTATAAGACCCTGTATGTAAGTGGCCTCCCTAGCCCTTTCCACTGGCTCATATAAGACGAGCACAAACATTTGGGCCTAGTGAGCACACAATACTCCCAACCCCTATAGTTATAATCCGTGGGTTGACATCTGATTTTATTCTGCTCCTTGATTTTTAGCTGTATTTTAATCGATTGTTTGATTTATGTTTTTAATGTATCATATACTGTAATTTGATGTTAGCTGCCCTGAGCCTGGTCCTGGCCATGGAGGACAGGGTATAAATAAATTATTATTATTATTATTATTATTATTATTATTAAATTTCCTTGTCATAATAGGATACAACAGGAGGTATTAGAAAACAGAAGAAAATATCTATCTGAAAAGCAGAACATTCAGTCCCAAGTAAGCTATGCTTATACCATGCCTACCAAGCTTTTTCTGTTACACTCAGTTGTGTCACTGTTGGCTCAATGTTAGTTGCAGCATAATATTTTGCATCCCCCAAATGGCTCTTGCTACAATTCCTGTGAGATCTTGTACAATAAAAGTTTGTGCCCTAGTGATTTACATTTATTGCATAGTTTTGGTTAATAGTTGCCTTTCCCAATATAGTGTTAGTGGTGGCATATAAACCCATAATCCTCAAAATACTATTTTAAAATAAGATTCATAAGCATAAGTAAATCAGTGTACGCTAGTAGAAAGTCTCAAGGTTCATTTGATTGTCTATCAGGGGGGAAAAAAACAGATTTCCCAGGGTTTTAGAAGTTAAGCAAGTGTCCAAGGACATACTGCATCTGCTACAAAGTGTTCTTATAATCTGTTGACAGTGCCTACAGTCTTCTCAGCCAGCAAATACTATGTGTGAAGAACCTTGGTTTTCAAAGGCTGCCTGCAGGCAAAGGAATTTCAGTAACCCAGATGTAGACACAGCTTCTGGTCTATATTTCCAGCAGTTGAATAGGTAGGGACAGGCTTTATATTGCAAATAAAATATAATGCAGAGTGGATTTTTATCCACTTAAAAATATAATGGCTTCTGAAGTGCATAATTATATTACTTTTTGTGTTTTCTGCATCTTGAAGATAAAACTTGTGCTAAGATATTACTGTACTGGACTTCCCGTGCTTTTTGTTTTTCATATACAGAGAATTCAGTTCTTTGTTGTTTTGAGAATTCAGATTCTAGAGTTGTTTTCACAACATATATTGTGGTATTGCTGGAGCTTTGTGCAGACATTGGAGACTAGGCATGGTGAGCATATCAGAATCACGTTTCCCCTCGCACACAACTCCAGTCCTAGCATCACATGATGGATTGTCATATTTACAGAGGGGCCTACGCTCATAGAGCCCATTGCCTGGAGGGTGCAGCTGCCCAATCTATACATTCTAATTTTGTCATGTACAGATTGCATGGCTGAAGCCTTGACATTTCTGACTACAAACTTAGGCCCATATGCAAAAGGATGATCCAATATAAGATCATTACAACGTGGTGTTACAACATCAGATAAGCAACCAAACATCACAATTGTGATCCCTGCACCATGCATATCAAACATCTACATGACACTTCGGTTTAATGTAAATAGTCTTCTTCTGCCAGTTCTTGCATTAATCACTGTGCTTAATTTATGAATTAGCTTATGACGAAAGAGGATCAGAACGCTCTCATAAATTACATAAACAGAACAGGGAACAAAGCCAAATGGACTATTGAAATGACACAGCATGACAATTATTAGCTTCTTTTGTCTCATTAAACCACACTTGCACAAATAGGATCGTAGACAACTGTGGCTCTCAGCAAACACACTGCCTATTTTTAACAATACATTTAAAATGTATTGTTAAGTATGGCATGATAGTATTCTGAGAGCCATTATGGATCTGAACATGCTTTCAGAATTCTATCACAGTATACATGATAGCCCATTAGGTGTTGCATATTGCTAACATCTTTCCCTGTGCTTTTCATGCAAAAGTGCTTTATGCCTCTCCTCCTGCTACTGACAAGTTTACTGCAGTGGAGCTGCAGTGACATACAGTGGTTGAACTAGTTAGTCACAACTGCTTAAAATAAGATGTTTCATACGATTCTGAAAAAGACTAAAACAAGGTCCCAGTTTCTCTTCATAATTGAGATGTAACATGCTTAAAGTATTCGGAATTCTAAAAAAATTGGGTAATTTCAGAGAGAGAGAGAGAGAGAGAGATTGAGATCATATCGAAGAGAAGAACATGCATGTTTATACTAGTAATATGATATGCAGATTATATGTTGCTTAGCTGTTTAAATGCTCACCTTTTCATTTCCCCCACCCCATCCCCACAAAGTCCAGACTATAGTAACCCACTTGGCAAGTCTCCCAAGGTCAGTGATGACACAAATTTCAGAAGCCATCGCAATGAAGAGCCATTCTTTGGGTTTGTGAATAACATATTAGAGGCTACCCCTGGTGAAAGCTCTGGACCCATTGCAGCTTTCTTTGAAGAGGAGAAACAGCAGTTTCCAACTGCTCCTTCTTCCGATTCCAGCCATTCTTTTGGTAACAAAAGCATCATCGACCAGCTGTTTACTGATTCAGCTAATGCAAATGAAATATCCAGAATGCCTAGTCCTTACGATATGGAAGAAATGCACCAGATGTCAAGTGGTGCTCACAGGTGCCCTGCTGAAAGAGACCTCAGAGGCATTTTCACAGCTCCAGAGCAGATTTTCTTCCCAAACAGCCAGAACTTAAATGCAAGTACCCAGGAGTCCATTAATCAGCCAAGAGATTACAGTATTCAAGAACGAAAGCCTGTAATGTTTTCTGAACAGCAAGAGAATGCTAAAAACTTTGGAAATACGGGTAAATGTCTGTGATGGAAGAAGTGGGTAAAGACAGTGTAGAGGCCTTCTCATATTTAAGGAGCCCAATAATACAATTAGCAAAATGTCCTTTTGTTAATATAAGTGCTTCATATGAGGGTCTATATATCAAAGGGACCTCTTGAGGTCCTATATATTGAAGGGGATACACACAGATGCACTGCACTCACCGTAGGGTGCTATTGGTATAGACAATATCTCTTACACACTGCTTTCTTTTTCTGCATGTAAGGGAATGGCAGCCATTCACTTGTCTGGGAGAAATTAGAGGGAAGGGTTGGGTGCTGAAGTTGCATCTTACTAGGTCCAGAATCCCAACTGAGAAACAATATTTGCTTTCTCTCTAATGTATTTGCATTGCATCCCACTTAACTTTATCCCATATTACTGCATGGATTCCATCAAGAAAGAGGACAGAGCCAACCTCTATGCAAAGTCCCACTTGTTCACTTGCACTTCCTTGTACAGAATACTTCTTGGCTTTTAAGCTTATTACCAATACCCTTGTCTTTTAAAATAAGTTACCAATATCATCATTATATGTGCAGTGCATTGGCTTCCTGCCAAATTTGGAAGTGGATTAACAGCATACATAACTGTTTTTGTCATGGAGCTATGGGGAGATGCAGCAACAATGATCACTGCTGGTTATCTGGTTGCATTTAGAATTAGATTACAAAGAGACATATTGATCCAGAATTCTATGTGTGTATATGAAGCTTCTATACAAGTGGCATTCCCGTTCATTTCCATGGAGGAAGTCAGTGAGCGAATGGATTCCCATTAAAATTAATGGAGAAATTGTTGCAGGGAAAGTGTTCATTAAGATTCTCCACACCTAAAACACATCACATCACATATGTGGGGTACATACTTGGTTGTTGCTTTTTTTGTTTTGTTTTTTAAATAGCTTTAATAAATGGTTATTAAGTAAGCCCCACGGAGAGCCTCAAGGTCCATAAATAGCAACACCCTAGTGGTCCCGGGCCCCAAGGAAGTTAGATTAGCTTCAACCAGAGCCAGGGCCTTTTCAACTCTGGCTCCGGCCTGGTGGAACGCTCTGCCTCATGAGACCAGGGCCCTGCAGGATCTGATTTCTTTCCGCAGGGCCTGTAAAACAGAGTTGTTCCGCCTGGCCTTCGGCTTGGAGCCAATTTGATTCCCTCCCTCTCTTTCTTTTTTCTTTTCCTTCTCCTCCTGCAATGAGGCTACCTTTTAATATTTTAATATTTTAATGTTTCAATATTTTAATGTTGTATTTTAATTTTGTTTTTAAGTTGTAATCATTCAATTTGTTTTTATTATTGCTTGTAAGCCACTCTGAGCCTGGCCTTGGCTGGGGAGGGCAGGGTATAAATAAAAATTATTATTATTATTATTATGGACGTATCTGAAGTTATATTTTATAACTTTTTTATTTTCAGTGGGATTTGAAAGCCAAAAGAGAAATATCAAGGTAGCAGACAGCATGCAAAATCGCTTAGAGAAAAGGTAAGTCTTTGAAGCTGTCAGGGAACTGCCATTGGCTCAGGGGGGAGAGGGGAAAAGCCGGATGGATTACAGAGAGCCCCCAAAGATCATGGGGAGCAGCTCCTCCTCAGCGGAGGAGAGTAACCACGCCTCCAGTGGAGAGGAGCTTCAGGGCTCGGAGGAGGCGAGGCGGTGCCAGGACACCTTGCCTGGGCAAAGCAGGGAGGAGAGGGGTCCTCCGTTACCCACGCCCTCCTTGAGCAGTAAGCTTTCGCGCCGAGAGCGGAGGCGCAGACTGGGTGTCAAGAAACTACTTTGCTGGGGAAGGTTTAAGGACCGCCCACTCACGGATTCTGCCAGTGAATGAGCCAGCCACGGGAGAGTGGCGCTCTGGACGGATAAAGTTTATTTTGGCATCAAAAGCAGGGCTTCACAGCCGAGCAGGGAGGCATTTGCCTGCTTGCTCTCGAGCAACCCCTTGGAACCCTAACAGAAGCATTTGTGCTTCATTTAACCCAGCATGGTTTACCTCGCCTGGGCCAGTTCACTCCCACGGAGATTACTCTGTGGGCTGGATTGAGTCTGTGCAGACACGATTTCTGGCACCGCGGAACTGAGTCCCCGCTTTGTGCCGGTTTAGCGCAACGAGAGGGGAATCACTGAGCGGGTGGCTCGGTTTGGGGGCGGTTCATCGGCCATTTAAATGACCCCCGTGGGCCGCTTGTGGCCCATGGGCTGCAGGTTGTCGACCCCTGATTTATTTTTATTTATTTTTATTAAAATAATTTTTATTAACCGACCAATCACATCAAATCAAACCAAATTACATAAATTCCAAATTACAAAGCCGAATTTTAAATTTTTGTTGGGGGTACCCATATTTCAAGTTCCGAAGGGGATCCAATCATCTTCTTGCTGCTGCTTTAATGTCCACAAATCTGTCCATATGATGTTCACTATACTGTCCAGTCCTTTCTTATTGTTTTCCACATCTCCTCTTGTTATTCTCATATATTTTTCCTTTCTCTTTGTGACCTCTGATGCTCTCCAAAGTGGGTTAAAGCAAGTTGTAATGCTGTGTGGATATTTTTATTCATCCAAGAATCATATTCAGACGGCTTCCGTATATCATCACTTCCATAAATAAAAACAGTCTTTACCGTCGTTAATCTTCACAAGTCTGTCGCCTTTATCCAACCTCTGAGGAGGTTCGCCAGGAATGCAGTCCGAAAACAAATCCATTCCTCCTCCCGGTTGCAAATCCTTCGACAAAGCCTGGCAAGATGGCGACTGTTTTTATTGCTGCGTCACTCCAAAAGCTCTTATTCTTTACTCAATCTCCATAAAACATACTTTTGGTTAAAGTTCATTTCCACACAGTCCTTAAACATCCTGCTTAGGTCAGTTAGCCTACGGATCCAGTATGAGGAGGGGTTCTTGGTTAATCACATAGAAGAAAAGAAAAAAAGTCCCCCCCCCATCCACTCCCGCTACCGACATACCCAGCCTTTAATATGTCTTCTCCATGAAATATTCCTGTTGCTCCGACCCGTCGCTCTTCTTTCACAGAGGTCCCTTCAGTTAGTAGTCTTCACTCCCCTTCTTCACTTGAAATATGTGCATTTGCTTCTTCCAAATTAATTATTACAAATTGCTGCAGCTAGTGGTGCGATCAGGGACAGCGTCGAGGAGAGCCGGAGTCCACACAAGGGCATTCTGCCTAGTGCCCTCACCCCCTTCTTTCGAATCTGGGGATGATTTATGGGCACAGCAGGCAAGGGCAGTGTTCCCCATATCCTTGGGGCAACAAGGGAGGCTGCATACTCCCATAACAGCCTCTTAATTACCTCGTGTGGGCCAGAGAGATGTTATTGTCAGCCATCTTCCAATGCGCCCCTAGTGGCCTCCCGTCGACCCCTGATTTAACCTTTAAAGTAGTGATATGGTGCCTAGTGCATATATGCAAGTATGTCTGTTGTGACAATCTCTATAGCAGTCTGACTCTCCAGTTTCAGTGTCCGATTCAATGTGTGCATTTTTAAAAGCCATTTGATAAAGCCACCATGGCCAGAAAATAGTTTTATGATCCACATCTGTCAGCTTGCACACCACAGGTTAGCGGTAACCAACACGGTCCCCTCCATATCTGGTGGACTACAAGCACCATAATCATTGACTCTTGGCTATGCTGCCTGGGACTGATGGAAGCTGAAGTCAGACAATGTCTGGAGGGCAACATGTTGGTTACCCCTGCCAAAGTCTGAGGTAAAGGGTATAATCCATGATAGCAGTTAATTAGTGATAGCTGCTGTTCAGCAAAGTATCATAGATGTTTACGTACTTACTGCAGTTTCTCAAAGTAAGTCACTGTGCAGTTGCCCTGAGGCCTAAGAGTTTTAAATTAATCTGAATGACAAAAGGACATACCAGCATATCACACCAAAGGTTAGGCTGGTGTTTGTGTTACATCAGATGATCCCATGCTATCACTCCATTTCAGGTTGCAAGATACCTCACACTCCTTCCCCAACTTTGTTTCCTAACAAAAATGGTTGTGTTGGGAAATACAGCGATACCTGTTGAATGTTTAGCAGTTACTATTGAGCAAGGAAACCTACTGCCTATTGCATGCAATTATTATGGAACAAAGATCAAGGCTGAGCATATGCCTTATTTTAGAATTACAGTCTTTGGCCCCATTAGGCTAATGTTTTAAATTATAATGCATCTTATTCCTCTTCTACTGTTACAGTGTGGCATAGAACAGGCGCTTTCAGATCAGGAGCCCAGTGTTAGATCTCCACTATTCAAAAGGGTATAAACTATTCAGTTAACACTATAGTTTAATTATAGCTACCATAACATACCAAAACACCACTAGCAATGTTAGTTTTAGTTTGGTGATCAGGGACTGAAACTGCGATGGAAGTGACTCCCCTCTCCCGATATTTTGCAGCAGGATGGCTGGATGGGCAGAACATAATCTGAGTAACTTGCAGATATTTGGACTTGAACAGGTAAAAGCTCTGTATGATTTGCATTGTGTATAAAAGGAAGCAGCTCGAGTAGAATATGGCATGTTTTCAGTGCTACTTATGATCTGAACATAGAATTATTTTATGCTGTGTGCCCTCTGGTGCTGAAACCTGGCATCTTGAGCACTTTTCTCATTATATGAGGAAAGGAAGTCTCTTCCAATGAGCTTAGGTTGGGCTCTTGACTATTCCTTAATTGTCTGAATATTGGTTGGTGGGGTACACCAAATTGCAAGCAAAATTCTTTAGGGGTATGTTTTGAAGAGTAAATTTTCAAAAATGCTCCAGGTTAGCAGTGCTACTTAGAGGAGCACGACTCACATTTGTTTCAAACACTGCATTTCATGCCACTGTACTGAGAGTTTGTGCAAACAGACACATCATGATGCGAACTAAACTGGGAATCAGAATTGATTGTGGGTAGAGCTGAGGAGAATGCAATAAAGAAAGCAGGGACAAAGTGATGGAATATTACAGCTGAGAATGTAGATAGCAATATAGGTAGCAGGCAAGCAGGTAAATACTACGGAACTCCAGGACAGGATAGCATCATGCAGGTTGTTTCCCCGCCCCCTAACCTGACATCCACCATACCTCTGTGGGCATGGTGAAATGAACACAGTGACTTGTGTTTTCTTAATGACACATGGACAGAGTAACTCGCTGTAGGGTTTCCATTTTTGTTGGCCAACCCACATTCGTTGTCACATCTAGATCAGCCTATAGAATCAGCCCTTAAGAATTCGGTGGGAGCAAAAGGCTGAGGAGTGAAAAAGAGAGATCAGTATTTCCTATGCTGGGATAGCTCACTCAGTAGAGCATGAGACTCTTAATCTCACGGTCATGGGTTTGGGCTCCACGTTGGGCAAAATATTCTTGCATTGCAGGGGTTGGATTTGATGGCCCCATGGGCACTTCCAACTATATGATTCCATGGCAGCTCTTTGCTCCTTCTTTTCTAGCTCTGCTATAATGTCAAAACAATTATTAAAGTTAGTATAATTTGAAATTAGTATGACAAATGCCTTTATTATTATGGGTAGCTTTTACTTGGGTTACCTTGGAGTGGAATTTTGATTTTCTTCAAGTATAAAATTGACAGCCCTTTCTATAGATTACCTGATATGGCAAGCATCAAGACCTTGACATTTTAGTTGTTTTCTCAAACTCAGTATGACAAAATGTTAGGTTCTGTATAGAGAATGGCATTAGTATGTTGGCAACTGACTTGTTTTTGAGAGTATGATTCAGCTGTTAAGGGGGAGTTAATTATGAAGTGGGAAACTATTACTAACCCAAAGAGGACTGGCTAATTGCCACTCATCACTCCTGTGGAAAGTGGGCAAATTCCCAAGGATTTATATCAGATATGAAGGTTGTGATGAGGAGAAACAGTATTTGATTTTCCTGAAGTGTTTTATTAATTAATTTGTCTGTTTTATTTATTCATTAAATCTATATCCCAAAGGGGGTATCCTCCCAAAGGGGCCCATACTTTCTAGGTCATCTTTCAGGGTTACCCCTTCTAAGGCAGCTTCCAACATATTGAAACAAAGCACATTACAACAACAAAAGCATAGCATAAAACACCACACGGCTCATCTCAAATGTGTGTGACAAGAGAGAGCCTATGTGCTGCACACGATACACTCAAGTGTTACCCTTCCCTATCAGTTCAGCGCTTATTTCTCTTGTGTGTGTGTGATAAGGGAAAAGCTGAAATATTAGAGACTGTTCTCATTCTGCAGTGGACCCGTTGCCTGCCATTCCCCCAAACTGTTCTCAATAAATCTGAGGGCCACACCCCTAGAGTACATATGGAGAAAAGAGCTAGATCACTGTAGAAGCAGAACTTGGGAAGATCAAATCAACTTGGTTCAGGCAGTGGAGGTGCACAGATGAAGGGCGAGATGATTCTCCTAATCATACTCTCCATTTTTAATAGCATCAGATGTTGAATAAACTCATTTGTCTCATCTGGTGGTGAAAAGATAACTTACCCGGTTCAGACCAGGACAGAGGAACGGCCTAGAATGATGGAGATGCAGGAGAAAACTCACCAGACTTGCCAATGGCAGCACTCAATAGGATGCGGGAACAAACTCCTGCAAAGAAGAGCCTCACTTTCCCCATTTCATTTCAGCAAGCTGTGTTTGTGCATGAACGAGAAGCTACAGTGCTTTTGTCTCAGGGTGCAATCTGGGGGATGCCTATAGTCCAGCCCTCTACAAACAGTAGTTGTAGCAATAACAATGAAGCACAAGACTCCCCATCTGCAGCTTCAGGTGAGGGAAGGTCCTTAGGTCAACTTGGCTTGACAGGTGTCGCCTTTAACTCTTCCTTCCCACCAGACTTAGCAATAGCAGAAATTGTGAAGCCTATGAAGAAAGTGTAGGAGGCCTGGTTGCTTATACTGAATGACCTCTTCTATGTAGAGTCAGTGTTGTGCAGCAGTCTCATGAGTGAATATCTACACCTTGTCAAGTCATTTAGCAAAGGTCCAGTGGTCTAGTTGCTATGAAGACAGATAATGACCTAGTAATCTTTCTTTATGTAAAAGGCAAGTTATGTCCATTTTCCTGGGTTAACTTCGAAGCTCATGGTTTGAGTTCATGGTAGAAATAGGAGAATGTGAGCTGCTTAGTGCAATATTATTGGAATGACTGGTCCACAATTTGTGGGATTTGCCTTAAATAGAATTGAGGAACTCAAAGTAAAATGTACAGTAAATGAAGTTAGTCTAACATCTTTATTTTTTAAAAAAAAACCAACAACAACAACAACCCGAGAAAGGAAGCCTGCAATTACTATGATCAGCACTCAAAGCATGGAAAACAAAAAGGTTAGTACTAATTTCAGATTCCTTAGTTTTCTTAATGGTCAAGAAGAACAGAACACATGTTCAAGTCTGAGTATCTCACCTAATGAGTTCTTATGTAGCTTTAACTCTTCTTAAATAGGTAAACCACTGTTGATGGACCTGTTGATGGCATTTTACCATTGTAATGTGGAGAGTGTATTAACTTATGGTCTGTGTGTGTGGTTTGGGAGCTGCATGGCCAGGGAAAAAACAATGCTATCCAGGGTTGTAAAGACTGCAGAGAGAATAATTGGGTGCACTCTTCCCACCTTAGATCAAATCTATGCTGTCAGGTGCCATAAGAAAGCTGCAGAGATAGTGCAGGATAGTGCACACCCCGGAAATGATCTCTTTCAGCTTCTGCCTTCTGGAAGAAGGTATAGGGTTATAAATACCAGGACTAGCCGCCTGAGAAACAGTTTCTACGCAAATGCAATTCTGGTTCTAAACGCAGCATAAGTCTCTATAGTATATTGTATTTTAAAATGGGGTTTCAGAGTTTTTAGGGGTTTTTGAATGTTTTATGTAGATTTTCAATTTCATTGTTCTGTATGGGACAATGACAATAAAGATATCGTATAAACCACTGGGCGGAACAAGCCTATGAGGGTGAGGAGGGAGAATCTGTGGTGGAAGATATCACCCAGTCCAAAGCCATATGGGGCTCTTGACAACAGAGCAAAATAAGTGTCCTTTAATTTCCTCCTTCCCACTGTCCCTTGCCACTTAGTCATTTTCATATTTTAAAAAATGTTTCCCTCCCATTGGTTCTAAAACATGGGGAAATTAGACAACATTCTTTTAGAAAAGTTTGCTAGTGCTTAGAATTTTGAGATATATATTGTTTCAGATGAAGAATCTCAGCTAAGCAACCAGTCACCTAGTTATTCTCCAAACCGAACAGAGAGCTATGCCACTACTACATCTGCTGAGGTAAAGTGAGGCAAATATTGCCATAACTGAGTTTACACAAGCTTATCCAAGTGTCTGGGAATAAGCAGGGGTGCCAATGGTTTTTGTTTTGTTTTGTTTTTTACCCCAGTACAATGTATATATTTATGAGCAGGGTTGAATGCAGCAGGTCACATAAACACCAAAAACCATTCCTATATGACATTAACTATAATGATGATTCCCTGGACCCAGACGTGCACAATTAAACTGACAATTCTGTTTCAACAGTCTGAAGAGGAAGAGCAGGATGGAAGAGCATTGTCTTACTTTGAGAACTCTTTTGCAAGAAATGATGGCAATCCACTTCCACTTTCAGGAAATCAAAAGCTGCAGTGCAGTTGCCAGTCAATGGCCATGTATTCCATTTTCCTCGACAAGAAAACAACTGACATTCACCCCCAGGCAAAACCAGCCAGGCCCCTGAAGAAAGATATGTTGCACAGAGCTCAAACACACAGATCGTGTGAAAATAAACATGCTAATTTCAAGGCGCAGCTCAACGCTTGGTCGCAAACAGAGACCCGTGCTGAAGAAGTAGAAAAATCTGACGCAGCCGTGCAATGCAATATAATGCAGGCTTGCAGCTGTAATAACGTGCCATCCTCTGTCCATAGTGCTGAAATCACCACTTCCGCCAGCAAGGTAGAGACCACTGGAGGGCAGAACATTCCTGCAGATGAAAGCTGAAGCGCTGCTCTGAGAAGCACCCATTCGTTGAGAGTTAAGAGTTTGTCTCTTGAAACAGTACATGGCAAAATAAACTTAGGCATTCTGGATTACAGTAATAAAGGGGAGGCGTGTGATTAAATAAAGAAGTCATATCAAATCAATCTATATGCTTATTAGCTGTTTAATAAATATGGGTGTTTTGACCAATTTATTCTTTTTAAAGAATGTGGACACACATATTTGTCCTGCTCAGACACAGTTAAATCCCTTGGCCATGATCAAACATAGGGTTAAATGTATACTACAGTGATTGTAACAGGCTTAAGCATGGTTAATTTAGTGTTAATTGGAGCCAGTTTAAATAAGGTGTGTTGCGTTGGGTGGCGACCTCTTTTGCACAGCTGTTTGCTCCTCCCCCCCCCCAAAAAAATCAGTATATCCTTCTGTAGTATACACAACTGATAAGAACACATTATGGTAAAAGAAATGTCTGTCTGTTCTCATTCTGCCTTTTTCTTCTCAAAGGCAATGGACCAATTCAGAGGTAACAAGTTGCTTGGACAAACCATGGTTTGTTGGTAGATGAACAAGCTTGAACAAGCCCTCCTCTACCCCATCCCTCAACCTCCTCCATGTGTGCTCAGCTGCAGAAAAAAACTTACAGGTTTCTTAAACCATATTTGCCTGTGATCTCCAAACTGGAGAACTGCGGTTTAAGCACTGACTACAACCAGAATTAGTTTGCAGTGCTGGTTGGGGGGCAGCACTTAAAACACAGTTTCTGGGTTTATATTCAAAAACTGTGGTTTATAAAACTGGGTTTCCTCTGTAGCTGACTGTGCAAAAGGAAGAGGAATGGAAAGCGACAGGATAGGGCAAGCTTGTTGCTTCTTCATGTGCCAAGAAAACTGGTGGCTTGGAAAAGGCCCCTTACATCTGAATAGGATCGTGGAAAAGGGAGTCTTTATATAGAACCAATTGTTTCCACCTCTGTTGTCAACACACAAAATACTCTTTTCATTATCTGCATTAGAAATTGCTGAACAGGAACATAGAAATTCATTGTGCAATTAGAACTGTTAACCAAAGTTACTTCATTGTAATCTGCTATTGCATAAACATTATGAATGGTAGTATATAAAATAAAAAACATATTCCAAAACATCATTTCTCAGCCGTTTAACTTAATTTAACCACTACCGGCTTTTACTTTGTTTGGATGTTTTTCTTGAGCCTGAAAGGTTGACATTTACTCTTATTTTATTCAGTAGCTATGTGATCTGCAATCTGAAATAAAATTGTTTTCTTTTACTCTCTGTTCTTTGAAACATAACTCTGCTAAGACACCCAAATCCTCTATTGGCTGTTGACTGTATTCCTTGCTTCAGCACGGCCACATCAGTGTCAGTCAGCCCTGACAAGCTGTGGCTGAACAGAACCTCCACTTTTATTTTAAACTCTGGCCTTCTGATTACTTCCCACGATCCCATTTTGTTAGGAAATGTTTTGGGTCAGAAGAGAGACATTAACTGTTGTTCTTTCAGTACTGAAAGAAAGGCAGGGATTATCTGAAGGTTAATATGCTGTGCCTTTTTCCTTCTCAGTGAGCATTGTTGAAAGATTTGCTGACCCTGCTTCAGCTGGGTCCTTCTGGTAACACGTTCTCATTCAGGAGACGTTGTCATGTAAAAGGTTTGTGTGTGTGTTCTCTGGCATTCAAACTGTGTTTTAAAGCACCAGAAGCAGATTCACACATAAAATAACAACAGTAACAACAATTTTCCTTGACAGGCAACACACAAACCAGTAGACGTTGGCCAAGTAGGTGTTTCTACTGCAGGACACTCCAAAGTGCTATAATTCCTACATAACTGAAAACTGAAAGAGCTTCTTTTAGAATCTATAGCAACCTGCTGGCAGAGGAAGAATCCAGAAGAAGGACACAAGACTATTTTCTTTACTTGGTCCTTTCCATCTTCTGCAGGCAAGATTTAAGTGTCCATTCTGGGCTTACCAGTCTCATCAGTCTTAGTAACTAAACTGCCTTGCACTCAACATTTTTGGGAAAGGCAATATATACAAACAGATTAGCAGAACTAGCACACATTGTTGTTGTCGTTTAGTCGTGTCCGACTCTTCATGACCCCATGGACCAGAGGACGCCAGGCACTCCTGTCTTCCACTGCCTCCCGCAGTTTGGTCAAACTCATGTTGGTAGCTTCAAGAACACTGTCCAACCATCTTGTCCTCTGTCGTCCCCTTCTCCTTGTGCCCTCCATCTTTCCAAACATCAGGGTCTTTTCCAGGAGTCTTCTCTTCTCATGAGGTGGCCAAAGTATTGGAGCCTCAGCTTCAGGATCTGTCCTTCCAGTGAGCACTCAGGGCTGATTTCCTTAAGAATGGATAGGTTTGATCTTCTTGCAGTCCATGGGACTCTCAAGAGTCTCCTCCAGCACCATAATTCAAAAGCATCAATTCTTTGGCGATCAGCCTTCTTGATGGTCCAGCTCTCACTTCCATACATCACTACTGGGAAAACCATAGCTTTAACTATAGGGACCTTTGTTGGCAAGGTGATGTCTCTGCTTTTTAAGATGCTGTTTAGCACACATACAGCACCAATATTTCAACCTGTTCAAATGTCCTTTATGTAATAAAAATCAATTCAATAAACACATTTCAGCAAAGCAAGCAAAAAGAAGAGTATCAATTATACATCAGAAGAGTGTATATATTATATATAAACTTGGATGTATGTGATAACTCTAATTACTGAATTTAAGAATACTGTTTCCAAAATTTGTGAGCTGAAAGTCTTTCCTTTTACCAATAAGCGTGCAACATTTCTGTTGTTGCCCATTTGCTGAGCTTACATGGACAAAGCCATCTCTTCAAATACAAAACTAAGGAGTGGTTTGCACTGCCTTTCTCCTCTGAGCAACCAGCAGCCTTATAATCAAGGGATTCAAGTTCCTTGTTAGAATACTTGTTTGGCTGGAGTGCCGCAAGGAAAAGGTGGGGTTTTCCGGTCCAAATGCATAGTATGGGAGCAAAGATATTCTAAGCTAGCATTTCTCAAAGTCACTGTGCCTTTGGACGGTGAATGATAAGTAAGAACCAGAAAATGAAGTGTTTCCCATCCTGTAAGTGCAACGTGAGATGCTGTACCTGTGTATTCTCTACCTGCCATGCAAATGTTACAGAATACAAGGTATTCTATGGTAGCACTAGCTGAAACTGCATAAAACAGATACAGGAAGCAGAAAGCCTTTTTAGATCTATTGGTTGTGTATGTTTGTGCAGTCTCTGAATTCACCTCGGGGCACTGCGACATGGATTCACTGCTGTTGCTCATCCATTCTCTTCTCAGCCTCGACATAAATCAAAACACATTTTCATCAGGGCACAGTCCCCACATAGCTAAGTCATTTCAAGACTGCTTTGGCACTTCATCATGGAAAATATTTAGGAATGCACCCCCTTAAAGAGACAGCTGGTTTTCAGTGCATCACTGCAAAACAGTTAACAGCTTCCCCCACAGGCTCTCAGTCCCAAAATACCATTTCCATTGAACATCTCACTTGGTCGAAGGAGGGCACATAGAACATGCCCTTATAAATCACACTACCTATATTTTATAATGTATTTTAATATAATCTATGGTGCATCAATCGCTACCTACTTAGATCTTTTCACTCTGTTGGAGTGCATGCTAAAAGAACTTGAAAACCTAACGTGTAAATCATTCGAAATCTAATTTCAAAAAGTCCCATAGACTGAAGATTAGTAAACATTCTACGCTGTATTTGTCTCACCCTTGTGGGATTTAGAGGCTGGAAGATAAGTTCACCCCAGAGTAACTTTCACATGAGAAACCTTTCAAGCATAGTTCTAATTAGCGCAGCTGATTTCTGATAGGAGATCATGCATCTTCATTGACCATATGTTATCTCATATATATATATATATATATATATATATATATATATATATATATATATATATATATATATATATGATATATACATATATATATATATATATGTATATGCTCTTACTTTAGTCAGCGCTAAGCTATCAAGCTGGTTATATATGGGCAAGGCTAAGGCTCAAGGAAATCCTAATCACATGATCTCATTTGCATTTTGGCTGTACTATTGTAGTCATGGTTACCAGGAGCCAGAGCAAGTTTCTTAATGTGGAGGAGCATACCTGCCAAGCTGGCTTTCTTGTCATAGAAATGAACTTATCAACTAGGCACCATGACCAAGCATGGAAATTCCATATGCAGGGTAACAGCTGTTTGGCCCAGCGTAAGGATACTTCACAAGAATAAATGTTTCCTTTTAGAAACCTGTGATCCTAGGCTTGTTTGTGCTGTTTGTAGTTTCAATTAGGTACCTGTTCTCTGAATTCTGCACTGCATGGTTTTAATGGAAAAACTCTTTTCATCGTTCTTCAGCTGCTTATATCTCACTATGATTTATTTTTTAAAAAAATATTTATTTGGTTTTTCAAATTAGAATTTTACATTCACATATCCAACATACAACATAAAGACAAGATTCCAAAGAATCTCCAAGACTTCCCTCCTCCCCTTTGTGGGTCCTATTATTAATCATTTCCTCCTGCATCTTCTATAATAACCCAAATCTTTTACATCTCCATTATATCCAAAATTCACCATTAAACTACAAGTGTTAGTCCAATCCTACTAATGATTTTAACTGTTTACAATGGTTTTTAAGGTAAATTATAAATTTTCCCTATTCCTTATTTAAATTTAAGTCTTCCTTTTTTAATATTTTTTTTAATTGTTAAAATAATTCATCATTGATACACATATATTACAAATATACAAGCATACAAACATACATTTCATACAATCCTTAAAAGTGTTCAAACATACACTCAATCCCACAAATGATTCCTTTTCCCATCACCATCCACCACCCCTCACCCCACCTTTGTGTTAGACTTCCAATATACTCAATTGCAATTTATTTCCACTTCTATTACTTTCACACACCTTCAGCCTAATTTTATACTTCTTTTTCTATTACACATTGTTATCCATCTGATTTAGTATTTCAATATTTGAAACGGAACTTGTTTATTCTAATAGGCGTTCTGATTTTTCGATATGGTTTTGCAAGTATCTTTTAAACTCCTTCCAGTCCCTATCTATCTTCTCTTTTGAGATCCTTCCAATTTCTCCCATTGTTTTGGATATATTGTGGTACTCCAAAAATTTGGCAAGCCAAAATTTCGGTCTTCCTGATTTCTGACTCTTCCGGTCATTTTTGCCATTTTGGCATAATCCATCAACTTAATCTGCTATTCTTCTCTGGTCACGGCTTTGTACTCTTTCCATCTCTTGGCCAATAACATCTGCACAGCTGTGGTTGCATACATAAATAGGATTTTCTGCTCCTTTGGGATTTTGATATCTCACTATGAAATCTAATGCATTTGGAAAGGGCAAGGTCCAGTTGTGCAGATACATACACTGACTCTCCAGCAGGAAGCTATTTAACTAAATAACCATTTCCAAAACTCAATTTGCTTGCAAGAGGATTTGATTTCCAGGCTGCATTCCACACAGGCTCCTTTGTCAGCTACATCCGTCACCTCAAAAAGGGCCTTCAAACCTTTGCCAAAAAGGAGTCAGTTCCAACAGAATTAATAGTACTGCCAAGCAAATATGGCCACATGGTCCAGAATCAACATCCAACCTTTAATAGTTATTCTTTCCCAGTAATGTTTCATAAAGTGGTCCCATCACAGTTACCTTCAAAAATCCATCTGCTCATATAGAGGGCTAGCAATCTTATGAAGGGTTTTAGCATAGACTTTTGTGCAATCCTAAGCATGTTTACTCAGGAGTAAGTCCTCCTGAGTTCAACGAGGCATTCTCCCTAGTAAGTGCGTTTAGGATTGCAGACTAAGATTGTAAATTGCTTGGGGTAGGAATTTTTGCTGTGCTGTTGACAATGCTATTTATACCATTATTTCAAAATGTATGCAAGACACCATTGGAGTAAAAGCGACCAGTGCTCGGTTATGTTGTTCCACATTTAAATACTACTTTTGTTTACTGGGAAGCAGTTTGAAGTTGTATGTATTACACTGGCTAATAATATTAATAATAACAATAATAATAGCAAGAATTC